TTGTATTAAAACAAAGTTAGATCGTAAGTAATTAATTAATATATATATATACAGTCAACCCTCCTTATAATTACACCCCTCAGGACTACCAATTGGTGTGATTATATAGAAGTGTGCTTATAGCAAGGGATTTATTATATAGTCACATATATATAAAATTTTTTTTAAAATTAAATTTATTTTAAATAATATGTGTATTTTTACAAAATTAATATTGTAAAAAATACAAAAAAAACAAAAAAAACTTAATTTTATCATACCTTTTACCCCAATCACCCACCCTTATATACACCAACTCATTATATAATTTTTCAACTTACATAAACATGAACTCATTATATAAATAAGTCTTTTTAACTTACACGAACATAAACGCATTACATTTAAGTTTTTTCAACTTACACGAATACAAATGCAAACTTAAAGATTATACATGAACTCAACGTACATATATATCCATTTAATCACATACCCTTTATATTAATTACAAAATTATACTAAAAAAAAGTATTATAATAACACTAATTATTAAAATAAAAAAACTATTTTCAAAAAACATATCAAGCGTACTTTGATTTTTTGAATTAAATTCCTTTACCTACTAATTTATAAATACTTTCGAAAAATATGTAAGTCTTCAACTTTAAATTCAAAATCATCTTGTTGTTCAAAAAAATTAATAAATGTTTTCAATCCATTAATAGCCTTTTTAACTGATACAGGAAATATTTCATCCTCCTCACTATCACTTTCTTCTTTTTCATCAGTTAACATCATATTAACGATTTGCTCTTTAGTAAGAGTTTATTCAGTAGGAATATTTTGATCAAGTGTTTGAAAATATTCACGCACTTCTTTTTCAGCTTCTGATAAACTATCTGCATCATCCTCCTCATAATCAATATCTTCGTCTGTAAATTCATTATAAGATGGAAGAATACCTGTTTTCAACCAACAGTTTCAAATAGTTGTTAGGGTGACGTTATTCTATGCTTCAGCAATGTATTCAATTGCTTCCTTAACGTTTAACTTATTTCTAAAAAAAATATTTAATATTAATTTATTATAATTTATAGAATAAAAAAAAAATTAAACTTTTATAACTTACTTTACATAATCTACTTCAGAATCAAATTAACGAATTAAGTATTTGCAAAACTCTTGTTTGTATTTAGCTTTAAAGCTATAAATGATACCAGCATCCATAGGTTGAAGATGTGCAGTAGTATTAGGTAGAAGATATACAAGTTTAATATTGGTAAGAGTGATATCCAGTGTTTTTTTGACTTTTTTTTTGTTGTTTTTTTTTTGATTGAGAGTGCTAATGGAAGATTCTTGCTCACTATTAGATTTATCATCATCACTAACATTATCTTCAAAAACTTTTGGATTGAAGTGAGATCCAACATTATCAACAAGTAGTAAAATTTTTCTATCTATTATGTGAAAATAATAGTCAAGATATTGAATCCATTTAACAAAAATATCAGATTGCATTTAAGCTTTCTTATTAGCTCAATAGATAATAGGAAGAGCCAATTTATTAAAATTTTTAAAACATCGGGGGTTGTGTGATTTTCTAATTACAAGAGAACGAAGTTTGTGTAAACCTATTGCATTTACGCAAAAAAGTACAGACATCTGATTTTTGTCCTATAAAATCAAATAAATAAAGTTTAAATAATTTATTTAATAAAAAAAAGCTTTTAAAATTATTTTATAAACCAATCTTACTTTTTTATACTCCGCAACTGCTTTGATACTAAACATTTGGTTTGGTTTCATTCTAAAGAATAAACCAGTTTCATCCGTATTATAGTTATTTTCCCTATTATATGATGATAAAAGTTTACGTAATCATGCACGTTCTTCAAGAAGAGTAGTAAGTGGAGTACTATTTGCTTCACCAGAAAAATTAACTCTTTGAAGTCCATTTCGTTGCTTGAATATTTATACCCAACTATTAGTAAACTTTAACTGATCTTTTCCAATGTTTAATATCCTTGCAAGCTCTATTCCTTTCTGTTGTAAAATTAAATCAGTTAAAGGAAGTCCAGCCACTACTGCTTGTGATATCCAAATTTGCATAGCCTTATCAAGTTCAGAAAAATGGGTAGAACGATAGCGAATTTTATGAGAAGTTTGTGAATTTGAAAGGATTGCTAGTCATTTTTCACGCTCTTGCTATATTTTTGTTATGGTTGTTCTATCAATATTTTTACCATCATACTTTTCATTAAAGTATAATGCAATAGTACCATATTTTATATTAGGATTAGCTAGCATATATTGACATATTTTTTTTTCATATCAACACTAATAGAAGTTCAAGTTTTTTTAGTTCATTTAAACGAGTTGGTGGCATTATATTAAAATTATAAAAAATGAATGAATTTTTGTTAAACTTATATAAAACTCAAAAGTATTTAAAAAAAATTTTATTGCATGATTATCAATCTAAATATGATTTAAAACGCGTGATGCATTTTCTGAATTTAATAAATATGCATGAAATATTCTGAATTTATATATTTAATATATGTAAAAATACGTGTAACAATTTTCGAATTTAAAACAAATACACAATATTTTCCGAATACATATTTATTATATATTTATCATGTAACATTATGTGATTATATATGGGAAATTACATATATTAATTAATATACTTGCTAAAAAATTGGTGTAATAGTGATTATAATTAATTTGTGACTATAAAGAGAGCATTTTACTATATAAATAATCAGAACCAAAAACAATGTGAATAAAGAGAGAGTGTGCTTATATAGGGGGTGACTATAGAGAGGGACGACTGTATTATATATTTACTGTAAATTAATAAATAATTATAAAATATAAGTAGTTAATATTTTATTATTTTTAACTATTATAATTTCTAAGTTATAATTAAAATTTAAAGATTTAAGTTTAATATTTAAGATGATTTTAATTTTTGGTAAAATAATTATGTTTATAAAATAATTAAATTATTTTAATCATTTTTTTAATAATTATAATTAAACACTAAATAATATTAGAGAATTTATCTTTATAAATAAATATTAGAATAAGTTATTAAAACAATTAATATATTTAGATTTAGATAACTAATAATAAGTATATTTTTTATTTAACTAATAATATATAATTTGATTTTAAAGTATCAAAAGTAAATATAAGAAGTTTTACTATTAGTTTATTAAAGGAATTTAATTAAATCATTCTTGTTTAATATTAGATTAAATATTAAAAAAAGTAAAAAAAAGTATTTTTTAACTTAATTAATGATAATTATAATTACATAATAAATTTTAATTCAATATTTATTAAATATAAATTATAATATTAATTATTATAAATTTATTATTTTAAAAATAAATTTTTATAAAATTTATATATATTAAAAATACTAATTTATAGAATTTTTATAAATTTTATAATAGAAAGGATAGAAATTCCAAAAAATAAAATAATGCTAAATCTGAACATGTTTTAATCTAAAAATTATTTTTAGATATAAAAAAGTAAAATTGATTTTTTTGATAATTTTTCTCTTTTCTATTACAGTTAACTTTATTTATATTGAACCTATTTATACTTAAATCTAACTATAATGAATCTAATATACCAGAATTGAATTTTTTATAATTATTAGCTTTGGTTATATTGAATTATTCTAATAAATCTTTATATATCACATCCAAACTAACTCAACCAGCCTATTATTATTAATTTAAATTTTATATATTGAATCATTAATATTATCACGTTATTATTATATCATTAACTAAATTATTATTAATTGTTATCATTACATTATTTAATTTAATAAACTTGTCAAAGAAAGTTTAATTATTATAAATTTTCTTACTAAAAATTTCATACTATCATATTTTATTTTGAAAAACTTGATTTTATATCAAAAAAAAAATGTATTAATCTTTCAGCTATACTTAAATGAGAAATTTGTGAAATAAAGAAAAAAAATCCAAATATTAATAATGTAGAAATTTCTAATAAAATAATATTGGAAAGTCAACAGTTACAAATATTTTAAAAGAAAAGGAATGTTAGCTTTTTATTACAACTGAAAAACAAGATAATATTAAAAATTTTTGTAATCCTAAATAGTTACAGCTTGATAATGCTCTTGAACTTTGGATTGATAATGCATTTATATCAAATCAAGATATCAATAGTTATATTTTAAAATAAAAGCAAAATTTTTTACTGATAACCTTCAAATTAATGATTTTAACCAGTCTGATGGTTGACTTACTAGATTTAAAAAAAGATAAGGACTTTGACAATTTAAAAAGTAAAGTGAATCAGCAAGTACTCCTCCTGCTGAATTATTATAAAATAATAGAATTAAATTACAATAACTACTTAAATTATATCAACCTAAAGATATTTGAAATGCTAATAAAACTGCCTTTTTTTAAAATATAGAACCTTTACGAACTTTAGCCTATTCTAAAATAGCTAAATATAAAAAAGAAAAAGCTTGTATTATAACACTTTATGCTACAAATTATATTGATACTAAACAATGAACTTAACCTTTATTTATTAATATAAAACACCTTGTACTATATGAAATCTAAATTATAAAAATCTTTCTATTTATTATTTTTAAAATAAAAAGGCTGAATACAAATTAGTATTTTTAAAGAAGTTCTTCTTAAACTCAATAATCAAATAAAATAAAAAAACTGAAAAATTATTCTTTTAACTAACAATGCTCCTGTTCATATTATTTTTGATGAAACTCAAGTAAAGTTAGATAATATATAAGTTAAATTTCTTCTATCAAATATTACTACAGCTCTTTACTTTGTGATGCTAGAATTATTCATTCATTTAAGTATCACTATAAATATCTTTTTATTAAAAATCAAATTGATGCTTATGATGATTTACAAAATGATATTATACAAGAACTTACAGATTATAATATTTATGATACTTTACTTAATGCAGTAGAGGCTTAGTCTATGATATCATTAAAAACTATTACAAATTATTGGAAAAAAACTAATATTCTTTCACAAGAAATTAATCTTTTAACTTCAATTCCTATTCCTAATAAGTATGTTTAAGTTTTGCTATTTATAATAAAATAATATATAATTTAATATATTATTTATTATTTTAAGTAAAAATAAAATGCAAGAACTCAAAAGATTAGTTACTCATCTATTAGAAAATAATTATCTTTCTGTAGATGATTATATTTATATTAATGATAATATTAAAGATGTACTTACTAATAAAGAAATATTAAAAATGATAACAAATGAAAAGGATAAATGTAATGAAAAAGATAAATTTGTTAATGAAATAATAAGAGAAATTAAAAAGATAACTTTAACAGAAGCTAAAATGTATATAGATAAAATGATAAGATTTTTATATGAATAAGGATCAAAATTTGAAGAAATTAATGAAGAAATAAAAGTTTTAAGAGATTTATATAGATAGGTTCGATTAATGGATATAAAAATCTTAAATAAATTGATCTTCATTATTTTGAAAATAGGAATTAAAGGTTTATTTTATTTTTATATAATGATAAAGTTTTAGGTATTTAAATAAAAGAAACATAATCATTTTATTGCTATTTTAACTATTATTTGCAAAATTAAATATTAAATAAAGTATATTTATTAATTTAAAATTTATATTAATTTTATTAATCCACTTTATATACTAAACTGTTCGATATATAAGAAAATTTAATACGAACTCTTATTATAACAAATCAAAATGTTTCAGCCTAATAAATTTAATATAAACAAAGTTAACTATATAAAATTCCATATTATAATTAAATAAAATAATTATAATAATATTGTTAATTATAAATAATAATTAATTTAAATATTAGATTATTATATATTATTATAATAAAATATAATATTTAAATATTATTTTTATTAATAATATTTATTATATAAAAAATAAATAATTTTATTTAATTATTATATTACTTAAATTATTATAAAGAATATATTATGATATTTTACTATGTTTAAATTCTTATATATATAATTTATATAAATATTTCTTTAAAAATTATTAAAGATAATATAATATAGTATTATATAATATATTATTATAACAATCAAAAATATTGTATTATCTAAATATAAAATTTAATCTTATAATTAAAAAGGCTTAATATTATAAAATTTAAATATAGAATTTATTATCTTAAACTTTATTAATCTATTTTATCTTTTTATAAAGATATTTTTTTTTTTAAAAAAAAAAAATTTTATTATGAATTTTTACTAAAATGACAATACATTTCTTTTGATTAATTTAAAAATAAATATTAACATAAATTATGTGATTTTTGCTTTAAAATAACTATATGATATATATATAAAAAAGATGACTTATGGCATATTTTACTACTTTATAATTTTATAAAAAAATCTATAATTTATTTTCTATATTTTATTTGAAAAAGGATTTTTCTTTTGCTATATAATAAATAAAAAAAATATTTTCCAATCAATTATTATTCCTTTATGCGTTTTGCAGGCAAATTTACTTGCAATTTTATTTAATAATTAAAATTATTTATAATAATTTTAAATATTTTTAAAATAATTTATTTAAAAATTAATATTTTTTCAATAAATTTTATGATGTTTTCTAAGTAAAATTCAAAAAAAAATATAATTAATTAGTAATATTTTAAAGATAAATATGATAAATTATTATGAAAAAAAATTAAAATTTTAAATTTATATATTTTATTATCTATTGATCTCAAAAATATTAAAATATAATTATTTAATAGATTTTAATGAGATAAATCCAATAAACTAAATTTTATTTTCTTGTAATTATTTTTTTTTTATAGACGCGGTGATGCAATATTTTATTATAAAAATCAGTTTCATTATGATATATATGAAAATCCTAAGTCAGATACATAAGTAGAGAAATAAAAATTGCTACCTAATATTCATTACTAGAAAACTAGCTTTCATCAGACCAACTGGTTATCCTGTCTGATTCTGATTACAAAGATTTACTGAACAATCATCAATATCAAACTGAATAAGAGAATCATTAAAGCAACTGGTTATCATCTGTCCAAGAAGAGAGACCAATATTGACCATATTTATAAGAGTTATTAATTAAAGTAATATTATTTAGGGTATTTGTGTTATTAGCAAATAAAGTGTAAGAGAAACTATTGATGAAAAAAGTAACATTGGATATAGCAAAATTGCTTTTTTTCTGTCACTTTATTATGTGTAAGGATCTTTCTTTGTCTAAAATTAAAACACATCTAGTTTTCCATATATTGTTATAGGCTTGAATAAAAATTAAAAAAAGAGGAAAAGATAGATGAAGTTGTAGAGAAAGATTTAGTGAATGTTATTAAGATTGATAATAAAGTAGTAGAAACCAGAATTGGTCTGGCTACAAGTTTATTGAACCTCAATAGCTAATAGCTAATAATAATATAAGTCAGTGATAGTTTATTTAGTTATTGGCTATTGAGATGTAGTACTGGCTACTTGTTTCAATAAATACAATAAACTTCAATATTGCTAATCATTTATTGGAGTTTATTATCCTATGTCGTTGAGTTTATTGAATTTTGATGATTGATTGATTAGAGAAGGGCCAGAAATAACGCCATTTTAATTTTAGGATTTTCTCTCTCTCCCCTTCCTGTCATCAATTCCATTTAAGGAAATCAATTATCACGTGATAGTTACTATTTATTATTTGATAAAAAATCGCACAGTTTACTTAAATAAAACTATTAATCAATTAAAATCATTAATCAAAGTATAAAGTTTATATAGTTTATATAATGTATTAGTTAATTTTATTTGCATAATTATTATATTATATATTATATATTATATTGAAATTAATTTTTTACTTTATCTTTATCTCTTCGTTGTTTATGCATTTGTATTGCTGTAATTTTGTTGTCCTTATAGTTAACAGATTGGTCCAGATATCTGAGTCCTTCTATATAATCCGCCAACTCATTTTTTGTATCAGATTGTATATTATTATCAATCTTTTGCATTTTTCTTCTTTCATTTGGATGCATATTCTTAACATGCATCTTTATAAATGCTTTTGTTGGAAAGTATTTTCCACATTTTCAGCATACAAGTTCATGACATAATTCAGATGAAATACTTGGACAATGTTTATCATAGCAAGGAAGCTGATCATTAAAAAATTCTAATGTATGTATTAGATTAAGAAAATGTTTATCTTGCCCTTATATAATAGGAGGAAGAAATCTATTGTTTGGTGATAAAAGTTCAAAAGCATTTGTGGCTCATGGTGGTTTACAGCAGCTTTGATCATCACATTTTCACAAATCAAAAGAATATTTGCAAATTTGTGAGTGACGATCGATCCAATCCCATGTTTCTTCTTTTATATCAGAAAACATAATATCATTATATTTTTCAATATATGTTGTAACAACTAGTCTCTTATTAATAAGATCACGATTCCAAAGTTCACAAAGATGCTCTCTGGCATGTTTAAAGTTTCTATATCCAAGTTCTTCATCAACTATCAAAACCTGTCCATTTACATTACCAAGATGATTCCTATAATTAAAAGCATTCAACACAATACCTGCTAGTTTACCAGATAATGATGACATGCTTCTCTTCATTGAATTATACGCCAACTGTCCCAGTGCATGTATTCGTACTGTAAGATAATCCAATTTAAGCTTTTTAAAAATAAGCATATATTTTAAAATATTAGCAAGGAACCGAGGGTTTTCATCAGGCTCACCATTCGTTAATAAATACCAGATAGGTTTCACAGAACCTTCATGATGTGTAAATTCATGGTAAGTCTCCTTCTCTACAATTGTCATAAGATCGATCATGTGTGTTTTACATAATATGCCCAAAAAATATTCAGGACGAATGAAAATTTGCAACTTTCCAGACCGTAAAGAATCATTTGTGCCACTGGAATCAATTAGCAAGTATACGGATAGTATTAATTTATGTTTAGAACCTACTGGGAAGTCATAGTCAGGAACTGATATAGGTTCATTTAATGTCTGTATTGTTTTAAATGTTTTACCAACAGCAGCGATACCTAATAGAACCTAATAACAATTTTAAATATATAATTATAAAAACTTTTATTACACTATACAAAACTAAATAAAAAATATAATACAAGATTTAAATAACTAAGTAAACTATCTAATAATTAATTATTTAAACATTAAATTATTGATTTTTAGTCAAATTCCACCCATATAGATAGTAAAAATTACCTTAGCCTTATCGTCTTGCGAAATTAAAACAACATCTTGTGGAAAAGTAGATGTAAATAATTTTCACACCTTTGACTGAAGCTAGGCAATAGTGTTCATCGACATGGTCACACATTTCATTTCTTTTAACAGCCGCTAAATGTATTTGTGCAGGGTGATGGTGTCAATGTGCTTCTTTTGATACTGGATGATGCAGTTGCATATAATTTTGTACCGTTGATTTTGACATATATACATTGTAGTTGTCTTCCATTATTTCTCAGAAATGCTTGATTGTTCAGACCTTAATTACCTCCTTACGTTGTTTGTGATCTGCTGCACTAAATTCAATGCAGCTATGCATTTTTTCCAAAAGATTAAGATCATTCATTAAATATGATGGATGACCCGGTGTATTATAAACTTCTACAATATTCTCTTTTTCTAACTTCTCCTTTTCTTTTCTCGAGATTATTTTTGAGCAGCTGCATTACTTTTTAAACGTTTAAACCTTTTCTTCTCAATAGTTATAGTTTCTTCTAATATTTTAATTTTTGAAAAAAATTGGAAACGGACTTCCAATGATATTGCTACTTGCAACAACTTGGTATATTCATACACTTCAGTTTTGGTTTTTTGAATAATATCAAATGATTGATTTTGTGTTGGTACATGAAGTGAAGATTGAGAAGGTTTAGGAAGAATATCTGAAAATATTGGTGAAGATGATGAAGGTGGTGAAGGTTTAGTTGTAGATTTTTGTTGTAAAGGTGGTGAAACGAAAGTGAAGGGAGAAGGTTGAATAGGTGTTTTTAGTAGATTTGAAATAAGATTGAAAATATGATCTTTATCCTTTTTTTTAACTTCTCGCTAACTATTTTGTGCTTGAAGTTGAAGTTCTTTTTTATTTAGTGTAACATTATAACTTTCTACCATTTTGGAGAATGTATAGGCATTCATATATTGTTCATAAGTATTTTGAGGGTTTGAAACAAGGTAGTTCTTAGGATATTTTTATTCACGGAAATAAGTTTGTTTCATTATTAACAACTTTCAACACCAAATAATTCTTTACATTTTCAAATACGAAGGTATAAAGTGTGAGAATTTTTTGGAACACTTTTTTGGAACACTTAAAAAAAAAATCTGTATTACCGCCATTATAATACCGCCACTAATGCTAATGTAACACTTTGCCACTTCACGCAGTACGCGCAGTGCATGTAGTCTTATGTAGCATAATTGGCTAATGTCTTTATCTAAAAAGGATTTGTATAACCATCATCAACCGGTACCCCCTTCTCACATTTGTTTAAAAAAGGATTCGTATAACTATCATCAAATGCTACCCCTCTATTAAATGACATAATTTCTGGCCCTTCCCTTATCAATCAAAATGTAATCACGAAAAAAATTTTTTGTTCGTTGCATTTCTTCTATTTTGTGCATTTCTTCCATTTGTAAAAATTCAAAGGAAGAAAAAAAGTTTCGCCTTTTTTTTTCTTTCGTTTATAAAATCAAAAAGAAGAAAAGAAAGTTTGTTTAACTTTTTTCTATTCATTATCAAAGGAGAAAAAAAACACTAATATATATAATATTATTTCTCTTCAAAAAAATAATATAGAATTGTGGGATTAATTTTATTAATTAGATTACTTTATAATTTGAAAATTAAAGTAACTTTCTTTTTTACTTTTATATTTTGTTTTAATTAAAATTTTAATAATATCAAAAAAACCACATAGTGGTAAACCACCACACAAATGGACTAGTTACTTTTATATTTCAGATGAAAAATGGAATAAAACATATAAGACCGCTAAATGTTTGGCTTATATTAATGCTAATGATTCATTATTAATAGTTAAAGAAATGAATAATAAGAGAGAAAGGTGTCAAAACTATTTAAAAGATTGTTCACGATTTAAGGCTCAATTTAATAAAGAAGAATGAGCTTTTATATATACTAATATTCTTCAAGAACAAGAAGAAGATCGTTAAAAATGGTTAGAAAAAACACGTGGCAAAAAACGTTTGAGAGAAAATGACAATGATAATCAAGATGTAACTTCATTAGTTTCTACATTACTAAGTATTAATTCTACTTTCACATCCTTATCTACGCAATCTATATAACCTACTTTTATTGATACTCAACCAAGTAATGACAGTATTCTTTTTTATATACCTTGATGACTTACCACTAAAAGTACTAAACATTAGTATAATCTTGTATTAAGAGCTACTGTATCTTGTGGTTAGCTATTTAGATGGGTAGAAAATGATGAAGCACGAGAAATAATTTATTTTGCTAATCCATCATTACCTTTACTATCAAGAAAAAATCTAGCTGAAAGTATTTTGGAAGACACAGCAAAAGATATTAAATTATCACTTGAATCAATTGCACAATCAGAAAAATTGATCTTACAGTTGTATTGGATGGCTGGAAAAATGTAGTTAAACAGTCAATTCTTAGAACTGTAATAATTACATCATCAGAATATAGTATTGTATGAGAAGCAAAGAATATTTTTGCTAAATGATCAAGATCCGAAGAAGCTATTAATCAAATAAAAACCTGGTTAGATGAAAGTAAAAAAAAGGATTAAAAATTATTTGTATAGTTACAGATTTTGCTGGTGCATATACTGCAGCTAGGTCATTTTTACATCAAAAATATCGTGAATTATTATTTTTACCTTGTTTCGCATCAAGTTAATCTAGTTATAGGTAAAATATTTAAAGAATCTTTAGATTATCATGAAGTATCAACTAAAGCAATAGAGTTAGTTTCATATTTTAATACTTCATCTTATTTTTTTGGGAAACTTCGTGAAGAACAAAATTTAATTTATAGTAAAATAATTATTTTACAATATTCATATGTAACAAGATGAAATAGCTATTATACACTACTTTCCAAAAAGTATCCGGTCAAGCTTTTTTTAAATTTCTCAAGATCGGATATATTAACTAAATAAAATTTTTTTTTAAATAAATCTCCTGGTTCTGACGAT